GTGTTTGTAATTTACCCTAAAATCTAACTAGATTCTATAAAATAAAGAATCCGGAGTAAGGGTTAAATTGTCCATTCATGCCGGTCTCCATATATATAAATTTACCGCACGTGCACATTCTCTGCATATAGACTTCCTATAAGGAGTATTTACATAACAATCCTTTAATTTTCTACTACTCTCTCTTTTCGTTTCTGGTTATTTGACCAACCATCAATTCATTTAATTATAAATAAATATCGTATATTACATTTATGAAAAAAGGCCTCTCACTTTTTCTTAATTGCATTTATCTCCTACAATTTATAGATTTTTTACCCTAACATACTTTGTAAGGGTCGAATGTAAAAAAATTACAAACTGCATGAGCTTGGGTGTAATTTTTAGAAAATAAGGGATTTTCTTGTAATTATATTTTACATCAGGGAGGTTGTTGTAATTTACCCCAATTTTAAGCTCACACAAGAATGAATTATTCATCAAATTACCTGAAAATTAGTTTGGTACATTGGATATTATAAAGGAATACTATTAAAAGACAAAAATGCCCCCATTAGTCAAAGTGTATTATAAATAATTTATTGTATTTGTCCATATACTCAATTGATTGATTGATATTGAAAATAATGTATCTTTATATTTTAATAAATTTTCTAAAAAATAAAAACCAGAAAAGGAGGAATAAAAAGGAGGATGAGTTTTGGTGGGCAAAAAAGGGCACACAAAAGAGGGCAGACAAAAGAAGGAGAGAGGGGTATTTTAGGAAATAGGGAGGTATGAAATGACAAGTCAAATGTCAAATCAAAGGGCTTCATATCATAAGACAGTCAGTGATAGATAGTGTTGTCCATCATATGCTATTGGTATTCCTTTTTTTTCTCCTTTCCATGTTTTGGGGGTTTGTGGGGTAAAACAATAGTTACCTCTTTCCTAATTTCACTAACTTTATAATTTAAATAAAAATTTACTATTTAATCCAATTCAAATATTTTTATATGTTATTTAACTAATTATAACTAACCTTCGAATAATATAAGACTGCATTTAAAAAATATTGGATTCATCACACACAAAATGTTCTTAAATCAACTGGTCAGAAAATGCTCAAACCCTAGTTTATAGTAGTGCATTCAACGTGCACAAGCATCAACGATATTCGATTGTCGTCGCCCATACCTGAGGCTTCCCTACATGGCATGCAAAACTCATGCTAACAATTCCACTTGGCCCAAGATCCAGCTAGAAATCGAAACCGTAACTTTGTTTTTGATGCCACTTGTAGAACTTGAGCGCTACCACTTAACTAAAACCAATTCGTGTTAGGAAATGCGAGTACCCTAGTTTTATAGTGCCTTGGGTGCACAGAAGCAGTTCACGGGCATTCGATTGTGGCCATTCATACGGGACCTCCCTTACATGAGCAATTATTTTCAGGCTCATTGTAGTTCATGTTAATTCGTTTGGCAACGAAATTTAAATCTTTCTATCTCAATGTCAAGTCTAATATATTTCATAATCATTAAAAAAATTCTTCAAAATTATTTAATCAATTCAAAAATCCAAAAGTAAATAAAATTGAATTGAAATCTTATATATAAAAGAAAGAAACGTTTGGCAACCCTAAGAAACCCTAATGATAGTTTTGTAATTATTTATTTTTAATATTTTTTTACTAATTTTCTAACTATATTTTTAACAATTATCAAAATTTCTATTTTTCGTTAATATATCCCAAATCTTAAGAAATAAAGATAGAAATTCGATTTGTTAAACTGATCATTTCCTTTTCACTTTTAAACTACGATCCCGTGCATCACACAGGAAAAAAATACTATTTAATTTAAGTAGTAGTAGTATTAGGGTTGCAACAAAAGAACCGGCGGATTAGAGGTCCAAACTCGAAGTTGGCTCGAGTCTCCCCTTGACCCCCTCACACCCGGCCGACACACTTCCCTATGCTGCCATGGTCCCACCTTTTTCACCACCTTCTTGGCTTTTCTCCTTTCTCTTTTTCCGGGGCCCACCTCTATATATATATATTTATTTATTTATTATTTTATTTTAAATTATTTTTTAATATTAAAATTTAATAATTTAAAATGACATTCATTTCTCTAAGATTTAACATTTTAAAATAATTTTCTTCATATAGTATGTTCTCCTGGATCCACTGGAATCAAAGATTATGCATCGACTAAAATATGTCACGTAATTATTCGTGCATTAACCGAGACACGCGTAAATCACTCGTAAATGTGATGAAAATCGACAAATCACCAACAAAACAGATGTAATAAATATCGTATCGTATACATGATAATAATTATACATATATATATATATATATATGTATGTATATATATGAAGGAGGGGATGTTGAGAGAATAATAATAATCAATATGTACGTTTATTTTTCTTATGAACAACGACCATTCAGTAATAAATGATCGAGTTATTACTTTTCTTTTAGGGTAAATTACAAACACCCCCTGAGGTATGGCCGTCAAATTACAAAACCCCCCATCTTGTTTGGATAATTACATTTACCCCCCTCAACTATGATTTTTTCTTACACATCCACCCTTAAGGTGCCAAATTCAACATAATCATCTACATTCCATGAAATGTGCTCTAGTTTGTACTCGTTTTGTGTAAAAATACAGTTTCCGATGCACCACAAACTGATATATACAAGCTAAAAATCACATATTATGATCATCTTGCTTCATAATGTAGAGTTTGAATGTGATAAAACGGGTACAAAAGTGATAATATTCCGTATAATCTCGAAGATTCCACTAAATTTGAGGAGTTGAGGGGGTGGTTGTAATTATCCAAACAAGAGGAGTGTTTTTGTAATTTGACCATACCTCAGGGGGGTGTTTGTAATTTACCCTTTCTTTTATTTCTAATTTCACCGTTCATGAAATTTGTAATTACATAACTCACCCTACACATTTTATGTTAATAATTTGTCGATATTTCTTTGTGACAATACACCACATCATTCGATATTGTATCTCTTATTTTAGTTGTACTAAATTTAATTACGTTATTTTTTTTTTTTGGTATACCATTGAAGAAATTAAATATTTATTAGCCAATAAATAGCATTGGAACTACATGGTAGGGACAACCAATTCGGGGTAGTCAATTGGTAGGTAAACTTATCGAACTGATTCGGTTTGTTACGGTAAATTTTTTTTGGAATTCCAGTATTCGATACGGTATATATTATTGATGTCCAGTACACAAAAAATGTAGTAAAATACCAAAATATTTAATAAATATTTATTTGTTTTTATTTTAAAATCTTTAAAGTTATAATAAATTATAAAATATTTTTAGATTGATAGTATTTCAATTATTTACAAATTAGCCTCTATAGACAATATTTTTTGTTATGGCTGATTATTGGAATTTGGATGTCAAATTCAAAAATTAATTTGTTTAGATATATATTTTTATATTTTTTAAAATAAATATAATTTTGGTTTTACCCGTATCGAAATGAAAAAATCTAATTAATTCGTTAAAAAATTGCACCAAACCAAATAGTTCGATTTACCGAAATTCCAGTACGGTATTACCGAACGAACACCCTACGGGGAAAAAACAATGGAGGTTTCTTCTTTGACTTAAGTAGTAATTTATTATAATTAATATCTTTTTAATATCATACGATAGTCTTAATTCATGTATCATACAATGATTAGTGGTATTGCAGTCTGCAGGTATATTATTTAATTAATACCTAGTGGTAACCCGGGTAAGGCTGTATTTTAATTAATGAAACTAATTATACTTAGTGAAATTGCCTATTAATTAATTAATTAATTAATTAAGTTATTAATTAATTAAAGATTAGTAGTCCAAATTCGCTTTAGATTCTCCCATGTTGCAGTTAAATTTGTTATAAAGGTTGCTATCATTGCTCCAATTGACCTTCATGTCAATGTATATAATTTATACAAGTATTGACATGGATGCTGCATTTTTTATTTTATTTTTATTATTCTTATTGTGTGAGAATTTTTAGTCTTTGTTGTTTAATTCTCAGATTATATACCATATATTTCATTTTTTGTACTAATTATTTGTACATAATTCGATTATACTATCAAATATGAATTTATTATTTGAAATTAGATTCAAGAAACCAATAAAAAGTACTTAAATCGTTTTATTATTTGTACATGTATGAATTTATATCATTTTAGTCATAAAATAATCCCATTATTCCTCGCATTAAAGTAAATCCAAGAAAGCTCGGTTCGCTCGTGCTCACAAACAAATACTCGAAGAGCTCACCAACACAGCCAAGCTCAACTCAAGATCGATTCATATACACCCCTAATCAGAATATAAAATTTTCTTTAAAATGACGATTAATTAGAAGACTTAACACAATAAGAGGAAACATACCAGCATTAATCTAAAATAGAGTATTGCAAAGAAAAACAATATACTCACACCAAGGCAATATTTACCTTTTTATCATACTATCCGATCGAAATTAGATGTTACACCTGATTATTTCCACTCGTTGGATTTGAACCGTAAATCTACATATAATCAGACACACACCGATATATATGTAATTAGTAAATAGTTATATAGTCAAATCTACAGTTTCAATCCACCCGAAATAATTAATTAGATGTAACATCTAACTCTCGTAGTCTCAAAATCAAAAGAGCGACACACTTATATATATATTCCAAAAAAACAACTATTCAAAAAGTCACAACACCGTATTTACAATTCCCCTCCCAATAATAAATAGGGTTTCACTTTTCTATTCCCTCCCACTAATATTCCCATTATATAAATAAAAAAAACAAATTAAATTTATTCTAAAAAATAAATAACCATTTTAATTTTGCAATTTAATTAAACAAATAATCCCAGCCGCCCAGATTAGCCATTTATATTACAACCCCCCCTCTCTCTCTCTAGAAATATCTCACACACCACCAATATATAGAGAGAGAAACCAAACAATCTCTCTCTCTTTTCTCTCTCTCTCTCTCTCTCTCTTCTCTCAGAAAGTCACAAGAAATAACAACAGTTGTTCTTCATCATCATCATCATCAGCAAACAGATCAACACAAATCATTTAAATGAATCCACAAACCCTTTACTCACTGATCTCTCCTCCTCCTCCTCCAGTCTCCACCACCACTTAGAGAGAGAAAGTAGAGAGAGAGAGAGAGAAAACACACACACAGTACACACACACACACAGACACAGCAAAACACAGAAATATCCATATCAAACTACAGAGAAAAACACGCACAACACACAGTGATGACCACAGAAGACTCGTTAAGATCCCTATCCCTAGATTACCTCAACCTCCTAATCAACGGCCAGGCTTTCAGCGATGTTACCTTCAGCGTAGAAGGCCGCCTCGTACACGCCCACCGCTGCATATTAGCTGCACGCAGCTTGTTCTTCAGGAAATTCTTCTGCGGGCCCGACCCCCAGCCCGGTTCGGATCCTCTCAGAATGGGCCCCGGCGGCGTCGGCGGAGGCGGCGGCGCCTCCTCCTCGTCGCCGAGGCAGCAGCAGCAGCAGCAGGTGATACCGGTGAACTCAGTAGGGTATGAGGTATTCTTGCTGATGCTGCAGTTCTTGTACAGTGGGCAGGTGTCGATTGTGCCGCAGAAGCACGAGCCCCGGCCGAATTGCGGCGAGAGGGCTTGCTGGCACACGCATTGCACCTCCGCCGTTGATCTTGCTCTTGACACTCTCGCTGCCGCTAGATCTTTTGGTGTCGAACAGCTCGCTTTGCTCACTCAGGTTTTTTTTTTTTTTTTTTTTTTTTCTTTTTTCCCTTCATCCTTTTTTCATTATAACATAATTAATTAATAAATAAATAAAAATTACTACCACTGTTAGTAGTTTCAGATAGTAGTTTATGTTTTCATCAATAATTTTAAGTGGGTTTTGATTTTGTTTTTTAATGATTTAAAATTAAAATACAATTAATTCTTGCGCTTTGGAACTTGGATCCAAACTTCAGGGTTTCTTTATTTTTTTTAAATTTTTTTTTACTTGGACTGGTTAAAACATATAATTAACCAGTTAGTTATTTAGTGACAAAATTCTTGTTTTCAATTTTAATTTTAATTTTTTTTGGGGTATAAATATAAATGTAAATGGTTTTTTTTTTTTTTTTTTTTTTATATTTAATATTCTGCTGCAAAAAAATCTATTTTTCTTGCATATTTCCATGTAATGAAAACCTTTGCAACATCGAACTGTCTTTCTATTACAATTTTCATGCTATGTTTTGAATTTTTAGTGCTGTTTTGGGCAAATGTCACTTGACAAGTTCTCTTCTTTGATTTCATGTAACATTATTTATTAATTGTTTCTTTTTATTGAATAGATTTCATTATACTTTTTTATCCACATTCAATACTTTCTACATTTGGTTTTCTTTTTTATTTATTACACATGCCCCCCTCTCTCTCTAGTCTTGTCTTTCCACAGTAATCTCGTTTAAAAATATATAAAAAAAATAAAAAAAATTGTGTAATACAATTAATTAATTAAATAAATTAATTAATTTGCAGAAACAATTGAGTAGCATGGTTGAGAAAGCTTCAATTGAGGATGTAATGAAAGTATTAATAGCTTCAAGAAAGCAAGACATGCACCAACTATGGACCACGTGTTCACACCTTGTCGCAAAGTCCGGCCTCCCGCCGGAGGTTTTGGCGAAGCATCTTCCGATCGAGGTGGTGGCTAAAATAGAGGAGCTCCGCCTCAAGTCCACCCTCGCCCGCCGCTCCCTAATGCCGCCACACCACCACCATTCCCACCACCACCACCACGACATGGGCGGCGCCGCCGCCGACCTCGAGGACCAGAAGATCCGCCGCATGCGGCGGGCGCTGGACTCCTCCGACGTGGAGCTCGTCAAACTAATGGTGATGGGTGAAGGGCTGAATCTTGACGAGGCTTTGGCATTGCACTACGCCGTCGAGAATTGCAGCAGGGAGGTGGTGAAGGCTTTGCTAGAGCTCGGGGCGGCGGACGTCAACTACCCGGCGGGCCCCGCCGGAAAAAGCCCCCTCCACGTCGCCGCCGAGATGGTGTCGCCGGACATGGTGGCCGTGCTCCTCGACCACCACGCCGACCCCAATGTGAGGACCGTCGACGGGATTACTCCGCTCGACGTTCTTCGAACCCTAACCTCGGACTTCTTGTTCAAAGGAGCGGTTCCCGGTTTGACCCATATCGAGCCGAACAAGCTGAGGCTCTGCCTGGAGCTGGTTCAGTCGGCGGCGATGGTGATCTCCAGGGAGGAGGGGAATGCCGGCACGCCGCCGTCCGCCGCCATATACCCGCCGATGAACGATCAGGACCACGGCGGCGCCGCCGCCAGTATCGGTGCGGCGGGTAACCTGAACCTGGACTCGAGAATGGTGTATCTGAATCTCGGCGCGCAGATGGGTGGCGGCGGCAAGAATATGAGCGGCGAAGAAGATAGCGGCGGCGGCGGCCATAGAGATCAAGGTATGAACCGAAACGACGACGCTTCAATGTATCACCACCACCACCACCATCATCATCAACACCATCACCCCCATAATCAGTATTAAACTTCCATCTACGTACACAAAGTACCTCTCTCTCTCTCTTCTCTCTCTCTCTACAATATATATCGTTTCTCTCTCTCTCTATCTCTCTCTCTATATATATATATATGATATATCTAAGTTTATTTTCCATGTAGTGGGGATCAGGGATTCAAAATATTCATGGAGATATCTTTATTCAGAAGTTTCACTTTAATCTGTTGGTATTTATTTAATTAAAATATTATATATTCTGGTGATTTATATTTTTTTATTTCTAGGAATTAATATTATTAATATATATATATATAATGATAAGCAATGAATTCTAGAGAGAGAAAGTGAAAAATGTACTGAATGTGAATGAGATGGGACAAAGAGCAGTGAGTATCAACGTTTCTTCTGCTGTGATGAATTGTGATAGAGATGACACACCTCAATCTTTTCAATTCAAATAAAATCAAAAAAAAAAAAAAAAAACCTCAAGCCCCTGTCAACTCATTTTGTTTTATTGCTACACATTATAATTTAATTTAATTTATATTTTATATAATAATTATTATCATTTTTTATTATTTTTTTTTTGATAATTAATTATACATTTGTTTGTCTTCCTATAGCTATTGAATTTTTATATATATGCATGGGAATTGGTGATTTCAATCATTGTTAGAATATATTGATCGCAACTAATGACCTTACTATCAATTTTTATAAGTTTATTAATTGCAAAAATTACACCTTTTGCCCCTTAAGTTTATCTAGATTCCAACATTTGGTCCTCCCTTGTTGTCAGAAAATAGATTTAGTCCCTTGTGTTTCAAAAACTTAATATTTTGGTCATTTTCGTATATTTTTCGTTAGCACCTAACGGAATGATCAAGCATGGTGTTCATCAGTGTCTTATCTGACGGAGTAATGGTAAATTGACACAAGGCACTAAATTAAATTTGTTTATTGTGAATATGGGGGACCAGATGTGAAATTGATGAAACTTGAAGGACTAAAATGGTAATTTTTCCATTTATTAATTTGCATACACTAATATATATGTTTTTCTATGCTAATTATTAAAAGAAAATTCAAGAATGGATGTTTTTGGTTTCTTGTGGTGGGTAGGGTAGTGGAGGGTGGAAATTGGTCTTTTGGGACTTTGTTGGGACATTAGACTTTTTTTAAACAATAAAATAAAATAAATATATATGAGCTGTCTCTTGATCTTTTGGTGTTTATTACATATATTTATTTATTATTAAAATTCACATATTTTGATTGTTTTTTAATTGACTAAAATTAATTATATATACATTTTAATAAGCATCGTTTAATTTAGCTTTAGACAAATTGATTGGTTGTGTCTAGCATGAATGCAACATCGAGTATGTGACCTCACAAGAAGATTATTATATTAATTAATATCTAATGCTGGATCCATATTTAATTAATGTAATCCACCTTTTCATTCCCACTTGGCCCTTTTGGGGATTCAATTACTTTCAAGCATAATTTAAAACCTAAAAACTTTAGGGTTTGGTAAAGTTTTTAGGTTTAAATTTTCTCTTTTGTGTCTCAGTTCGAGGTTTCGAGTTTTCGAGTTTTCAGGTTTTAGGCTTTTTAGGCTTCTTGGGTTTTCGAGTTTTAGCTTCTCGGGTTCTCGGGTTTTCGAGTTTTAGGGTTCTCGGGTTCTCGAATTTCAGGTTTTTCTGGTTTTGTTTCGGTTCGGTTTCTGTTCAGTTTACATATTAAATATATACAAAATATATTCATAATTAATTTCTCCCAATGTAGGCTAAGAAAAAAACATATTGGGAGTTGAAATTTATGTAGTGTACTATTTTCCATGAAATCATGCCTTGTGTTTTTCTGCAGTTTGCAACTGTCCGTACAACTTCCAGTGAAAAGGGTTTTAAAAAATAAAAAATAATAAAAAATAACGAAAAAAGAAATAGAAAATTAAAAGGTTTTCAAGATTTTTTTGCCTATTTTAATTTATTTTATTCTTTTTGTGGAATATTATTTAGACAAAAGCTTTTAGGACAGCTTGTCAATGTTAGGGTATACTAAAGTAGAGTAGAGTAGAGTAGGCTTTGTTCTTCAAAAGCGCTTTTTCTTGGTAGATATATATTATATAAATCGTGTGCATATATTTTTGAGTGATGGGCCAATACGATTTTAATTTTTGTATTTGTTTATTTTTCTTGATTTATTTTTATTACAAGAAATTGGTACACAAGTAGTTAGCAAAGAAAAAGTTCCTTCCCTACCTACAGAAGTAGTTAGAAGAAACAGCTTTTTAACAGTTGCTTCCAAACAATTGAAAAAGCTTCAGCTTAATTTTACAAGTCACAAGTCATAAGTCATTTCACAAAGCTGATGAAAGCAACCTAAAAAAAGTTCTCATTGTAATAAAAGTTATTTCATCCGCTTTCATCTTATCGGTTTAAGTTTCTTCACATGTATTAAGTGAAATTAACGACTATACTGTAAATTACGGCCAACTCCCTTGCGTTAGATCAAATTACGAACAAACCTTTTCTGTTCGAATTATTACAACCGCCACCCTCAACTTTGAATCTTCTTACACGTCCACTCTTGTATTGTAAAATTTAGTTAATTTTTTCAGATTATGTTTCTCTAGTTTGTACCTATTTTACCCATTCGAACTCCAAATTTTGAAGCAAGATAAACATAAAATGTGTTTTTTTTTTGCATATATATATATCAGATTGTGGTGCATCAGAAACTGTATTTTTGCACAAAACGAGTACAAACTAGAGAACATTCCACGGAATCTAGAAGATTCTATTGATTTTGACTCCGTAAAAGTAGACGTGTAATAAGATTTATAGTTAAGGAGAATTGTTGTAATTACCCAAATAGGAAGGGTTTGTTTGTAATTTAATTTTACCTCAGGAGGGTGGCCGTAATTTATCCTAGATTATATTTTTCAAAAGAATTTTTTTCTCTTTTATTACAATTATATTTACACTACAATAAAAGGAATGCATACTAGAATTTAACCTTGTCAAGAGACTTTTATTATCCAACAATAGAAACACCATCAAGTGTATTACACAACAATTGAAGAACAAAATTTAATTCCCATTTTAAGACGAACGAAAAAGCTCCTCCACCATCGGAGCACCCGAGAAAAAAACATTTTAACAATGAATATACAATCAACCGCATCTCAAATTTTTATTCCGATTAAAAAGAAGATCAGCCATCGTTTTCTTGATCAGGCGTAAAAAAACATACCGACATGAAAAAAATCGTGACCGTCGATTTACGAGCGCTATTGCACAGTCTGAGTGATGGGAAATAATTTCTCCAATATATTGTTCGAGAATATGCGGTTCGGATCGAGTTCCTTTCTTGCTTCATTGTACGCATCCACGGGGAATCGTTTCCTTAGCCTGGCTTGTAGAGCAACAAGCTCGTCTTTGTCCTTCGGGACCTACCAGAGCAAATAAAAAAACAAAATTATTTAATGAAACATATTGTACAATGTAAGATTATTAAATTGATTAAACAATAAGTATATTTTTTTAAAGAAGAAATTGAATTGTACCTCGATCTTAGCCCAGTGTTCGTAAGCTGAATACTGATCCCACAATTTCTCCTGTGTTAAACGACGGTAATGGAAAAATTCCTCTGTGATATTCTTCCTCTCACGAGCATCCGATGTCGGAAGATACATAATTATCCCAACCTGTTTTTTTCACAAATGAGAAGAAAATAAATTAATCTATAATTATTAAAATTAATTGTGATACTAACTAATAAATGTAGAAAGATCTCAAGTGCTATTAAGCAATTATGCTTTCTTCTTAGACCTCGTTTGGTTGCCAAAATAAAATTATCCAAGATAAGATTATCCCAATTGTATAATTGAAAAATCAAGATTCGATCATATAATTAATTAATCACGGCTATTCTTACCAACCAAACGAAGCCTCACTAGATTTAAATACAAAAATGTGTCAATAGAGTCAAATAGAATTGATCCGAAACCTTTCGATCAAGGTTATGCAATCTTGAATGCATCTAATCTACCCGATATTAACTCGCATGAAATTCAAAGATTCAATTGTCGAACATAATACGGCCTACAACCAAGCATAATAAATAAATAAATAAATAATTACCCATGAGAAAATATCGTCTTCGGATGAGCTATAAGCGGGGCTCATGAGGCTTTTGCTGCGAGCGGACCATCTCTGCTCAATAGGGGCAGGGGCAGGTAAATTTTCTTTCTCGATAATTTGCATCAGTTTCTCTATATATTCAAGATCGTTCATACTAGGTTTCGAAAGGGTGCCAGCTGGAAAACATGTTTCCGAGACCCATTGTTGACCACCGCAGTCAAACCCCAGAATCTCGTCGCTCCATCCCACTCTAAACCCCTCCGATTTTCTCCAATATTCAGCCTCTGCTTTATTCACTTTCGCAATGTGTTCTTTATCGAGAGGATCCATCGCAATTAGCTTATCTCTCAGCTCCGTAAACGAAAGCTCGTTGATATCCGGTTCGTCTTCATCCGATTTCACAACTACTTTCCTATAATTAAAAGAAAAAAAAAATTGAAATAAATTCGACGGCGAAAACAGCTACGCGGTTAGTTAGTTAGTTTACCTGTAATTCTTTAACGATTCTTGATAGAGTTCTCTCACGTGCTGCGTGGCTTCTTCGGGAGTGTACTTGGGTTTATGCTTCGGTGGGCCTTTCCATTTCGAAAGAGGATTACACGTCACGATTACAACTGTGTCCGTGTACGGAATGTACAAGTATTTGACGTGCTTGTTTTCAGACAAGAGTTTTCTGCAAGAGGAAAAACAGGAGATATTTCAATGTTCGAATAAAACATAAAAAAACTTTCGATTATAAAAGGCGAGGAGGAGAAAGCATATATATGTATATATATATATACTTGTGATTCTTTTTAATCTCGTTCATGTTAGATACGTATGTATGCTCGACGAGCTCCATTCTCTCGACGCATTGTAGAGTAACTTCTGCAACCACACCGAGCCCTCCAAGACCACATCGAGCTAAATAGAAAAGCTCCGGATCTTTCTCTTTGGAAATCTCGATTATGCCCTTGGACGGAGTTACCAGTTTCATGCTGATAACTTGCTCGTCTATTGGAGGCAGCCTTGCTCCTGTGCCATGTGCCCCAACCTAAAGAATTCGCCAATCGGAGTCAACGAATTTCGAATCTTACGAGCATTGGAAAAACTCGATCAATACATAAGGATACACGTACGAACAAATACCGAAACAAAGTTACAGCAACAACACTTCGCAAAACGGTAAACCGATTCGATCGAAACAATAACAAGAAAACTCGAACCAATCGAAACATAAAATCGAGAATACGAACTCAAAATTGAAAGATTAAATACTAGCCTGGACAATGCCGCCGATCTGTTGCTCACGAATCGAAGCGAAATTCTGCAGAGTGAGTCCGTACTGTTTGATCCCATCGACGAGCTGCTGAACCCTAATTCCAGCCTGAACCCTAACCCTCTTGTTCTTCTCGTCCACCTCCAGGACCCGATCCATTAGAGCCAAATTGACCATCCCGGAACGGGTCAACCCGATCCCATTGGGGGAAAGACCCGACCCGACGGGGCGGATCTTCTGCTTCTTGTCGTTGCATTTTTTGACGACGGCTTCGAGCTCGAAGAGGGTTTCGGGCTGGATGAAGGTGTGGGTCTGGACTTCGTGGGTGCCGCTCCAATTGGACACGGTGTGGAGGTCGGCGGGGAGTGGGGCGTAGCGGAAGAGCTGGGCTTTTTTGTGCTTGGCGTTTTCAGGGAAGGGGAAGGAGTAGTAGGTGGCGGCGCCGCAGACGGCGGCGAGGATTGTGTACCCGATGTATTTTCGGAGCTCGGAATCGGCGGAGGAAGTGGGTGGTGGGGATGGTACGGTACAGAATGGGCGGGGGGTGGAAGGGGCGGCGGCGGTGGTGGTGGACGGGGGTTTAAAGGGGTCGCGGCGGCGGAGGGAGGAGTGGAGGCAGCGACGGAGATTGCTAGCACGGAGCATTTGGAAATTGAAGTGGGTTTCTACAGAGGTTTTAGCTGATGAAGATCAAGAAATGGATTATCCAATTTTATGGCGATAGATTTAAATGGTTTTTTTTTTAATAATTAAAAATAAATTTCAATTTTATTCCAATAAAATTGGATGTCAAAATTTAGAAAATTGGTATTAAAAAAAATTGCTAAAACAAATTATATTTTCGTATCAAAATGGACCGAAATTGTAACTTTTTTTAATTAATTAATTTATAGTATAAATTACATAATAATCATGATATTATAAGTGTGCTTTTTAAGAAATTGTATTTTTCTAAAATTAAAATCTCATATATTTATATTTTTCCAATTAAATGATTTTTTCTTTTCTTCTTAATAAATGAGATGACTTGTTGTTCTTAAATAGATCAATTATAAATCTTTATACGTCGTCCGTCGGTGCCAAATTTAGTTTAATCTTCTAGATTATATTGAATATTTTCCAGTATCTACTCGTTTATCTCATTCGAAGATGTGTAGTGCATCAAAAACTGTATTTTTGCACAAAACGAATACAAACTAGAGAGTATTTCACGGAATCTAGAATATTATGTTGAATTTAATAGCTGACAGCAGCACAAGAATAGAGGTATAAGAAGATTGACAGGCGATCGTAATTACTCAAACATAATGGATTTTTTTGGTAATTTAACAGAATTTTCGCCATAATTTACCCAAGAAAAAAATAAAATGATAATGATACATAAAAGAAAAGAAAAGAAAAAAAGAAATAAAAATATAAAATCCAAAGGTTGTGGATATTGAAGAGCAAGTACACCCACAAAAAGTCCATACTAAGCTGCCGTTGAAGAGAATCCAATCCACCACAGACTATCTTCTCAGCTTGGCTCATGGTTTCTGCAATTATCTTCTCTGCCCGAATTGTATGCTTTCTTCTTCCACGTATTTCGGAGTAAGTAATAACTCTTCTTCTTCAACTGTTTCCTGTGAGTTATTCCCCAATTCATGCTTTCATTTTCTGAATTAAGAATTTGAGAACCCATATACCATTTTTTCAAGAATTACAAGGAATTGAATTGGGATTTTCTTGAAATTAGATATCTTTTAATTTTTTTAGAAAAAATTATGGATACCCTACTCAAAACCCACAACAAGCTGCAGTTTCTGCACCCAATTCATGGGTTTGCAGATAAAGTTAGCACCTTTACCTCTTCGAAACCCCAAACCCTAGAACCCAAGTATTCCAAGAAAACCCACATCAAATTGAACAAAGATTTCTGTTTGAAGGCTAGTTCTAGTGCCCTTTTGGAGCTTGTGCCCGAAACCAAGAAAGAAAACCTCGAATTCGATCTCCCTTTATACGACCCGTCGAAAGGTATCGTGGTTGACCTAGTTATAGTCGGTGGGGGGCCCGCCGGACTTGCGGTGGCTCAGCAAGTTTCCGCGGCGGGGCTTTCGGTTTGCTCGATCGACCCTTCCCCTAAATTGATCTGGCCTAATAATTACGGCGTGTGGGTTGACGAATTCGAGGCGATGGATTTGTTGGATTGCTTGGACACGACTTGGTCCGGTGCTATGGTCTATATCAACGAGAATTCGACCAAAGATCTCGATAGGCCTTACGGAAGGGTCAATAGGAAACAATTGAAATCGAAAATGATGCAGAAATGCATTTCCAACGGTGTCAAATTCCACCAAGCCAAGGTCGTGAAAGTAATTCACGAGGAGTATAAATCTTTGGTGATGTGTAATGATGGTGTTACCCTGCAAGCATCGGTGGTTCTCGATGCTACGGGGTTTTCGAGGTGTCTAGTGGAGTACGATAAGCCATACAATCCAGGGTACCAAGTGGCGTACGGGATTCTTGCGGAAGTCGAAGAGCACCCTTTCGATGTAAATAAAATGGTTTTCATGGATTGGAGGGACTCCCATTTGGATAGCAACAAAGAGCTTCAAGAGAGGAATAAAAAGATTCCGACTTTTCTTTACGCGATGCCCTTTTCATCGAAAAGAATATTCCTCGAAGAAACTTCACTCGTGGCTCGCCCCGGATTAAACATGAAGGAGATTCAAGAAAGAATGGTCGCTCGGTTGAATCACTTGGGTATAAAAGTGAAGAGCATCGAAGAGGACGAGTACTGCGTGATTCCGATGGGGGGCCCACTTCCCGTTTTGCCTCAAAGGGTCGTCGGAATCGGAGGTACAGCTGGCATGGTGCACCCTTCGACGGGGTATATGGTTGCGCGAACTTTAGCTGCCGCACCGATTGTGGCTAGGGCTATTGTTGAGTATCTCGGTTCCGATAGGGGCGTTTTGGGTAATGAATTGTCGGCTAGGGTTTGGAAGGATTTGTGGCCTATAGAGAGGAGAAGGCAGAGGGAGTTCTTCTGCTTCGGAATGGATATTCTTCTGAAGCTCGATTTAGATTCCACGAGGAGCTTTTTCGATGCTTTTTTCAATCTCGAGCCTCGTTACTGGCATGGATTCTTGTCTTCTCGGTTGTTTTTGCCCGAGCTGTTGCTTTTCGGGCTGTCGCTATTTTCGCATGCCTCAAATCCGATTAGGTTAGAGATTATGGCAAAGGGCACACTTCCTTTGGTGAATATGGTGAACAATTTATTACAGGATAAAGAATGATTTGATGTGGCTTTTATCATATATATATATTTATATATATTTTTTTAATAATGTTACCTTAGATGACATGTATGTATATTTACTATTTCATCCTTGTGAGCAAAATGCAATATGAATAAGGTTTCTTTTTCTTCTTACTTTGCTAGTTTACACTCAAGCAAATTTGTTTAAGTATATCTGTTGTTTGTTAAATATGCAGGGGTTGTTATTACAGGATTTTTCGTGTTAATTATTTATAGGGTTAATAGCACTTAACTCCCTGTGGTTTGAGCTTTCTGCACATGACTCCTTTGTACTTTTAATATAAGCATATGACCTCCTATAATTTGAACTTTGTGCACAAGATCTCCTTCTACTCTTCATACAAGCACATAACTCCTCTATGATGTTCCACTTGTTCCTTATAGTATTCTACTTGTTAAATAATTATGTTCGGGAAAATTATAGTTTATACTCCTCAAGTTTGCACCGATTCACATTTGGTGCATGTTCACAAACAAACATCTTTGGTCCCTCATATTACAATAATTTAACACTTTTGATCATTTCCGTCAATTTACCATTAATTCGTCAGTTAAGGTAGTGATGGGCACAAGCTTGATTCTGTTAGTACTAACGAAAAATTGACGGACATGACTAAAATTGTTGAAATCTTGAAATATAAGGGACAAAATGCGTTTTTTATGAACACTAATGACCAAATGCGAAATCAGTGCAAACTTGAGGGATGAAAACTATATTTTTCTAAATCATGTTCATTAGGAAGATGAAATTTTCGAAAGTACAAGGGGGTTATGTGCTTTATATTAAAATATAAGGGGGTCTTGTGATACTATTGAAAGTATAAGGGGTAATAAGGGAATTGAAGGGGAGAGACGTGTGTTAAAAGGTTGTGATTGCTCAAATCAAAGAAAATAATACAATGAATCAAATAGAATATTAGGTACCAAATAATGAAATGTAACGTGCATTGCTCTCTCTACATATAATTATATTTACCAATTTTGTGGTTGACCAATGTGGTAATTTAAAGTCGTGTTACGTTGACTAGCTATATATATACATATATGTATATTCTTATCCATCAAAGAAATGTAAAACCCTAACAATGGCTTCCATATCATCCAAATGGAAGCACTTCACATTTCCCTTCATCCTTCTCTTCATCGCCCTACTATTTCTCGCGACAAACTACGTATTCTTCACCGTAAACTACACGCGACAACTCAACGAAGAGTTCCAAAACGTGTCCGCGTACCTCAGAACCCTGAGAAACCCCGAGTGGTTCGACGCCCTATCTCGCGATTTGATCCGAGAGGAAGACGAGATCGAAATCAGTTTAATGAACGCGGGCCGATTTCCATCGCATGCAAGAAGAACGGGCGCGGACGTTAAAACGGCCAGAGACAATCCGGAGTGGTTCGACTTCGTCGCGCGGAAGTTTCGCGACGAGAGGATGAATATCGGGTTGGTGAATGTGGACCCCACGTTGGACGAGGTCCGGACGAGGGCGGAGATGGTGGAGGTGCGCTTCGAGCGCGTGGGGGAGGAAGTTAAGTGGTCCGATTTAGCCCCAGAGAGGATAGACGCGAACTCGACTTGCCCGGTCATTCCTATGCCGATTTTCGAAGACTATCGGGACTTGGATGTGGTGGTTGCTAGGGTTTCGAGCTGCGGCGGCGGCGGCGGCGGCGGCGGTGGTTTGAGGGATGTTTTGAGGTTGCAAGTGAATTTGGTGGTGGCTAATTTGGTGGTTAGGAGTGGGAGGAGAGAGAATGGGGATTTGTTTGTTGTGTTTGTTGGGAATTGTAAACCTATGTGGGAGATTTTTACATGTGATGATCTTTTGTGGAAGGATGCCGAGTCTTGGATTTTCAAACCTGAGTTGACTCGGTTGCAAGATTTGGTGCTTTTGCCTGTCGGACCTTGCCAATTTGTTCCACCTGTCTCCCTTTATGGTATTTTTTTAATATTTATTTATTTGTTAATGTTTTATATTTATTGGGAGAATTTAGAAGTTTCCTTAAAATGAACAAAAAAATTAAAGTCTATTTGAGCAAATATATTAATCTTTTTATTAGATATTTAATGTTGATTTTCTTTATTATTGATACGGGAAAAATACCGTTTTGATCCCTCAAGTTTGCACTAATTTTATATTTGATCATCAATGTTCTTAAAAAACACATTTGGTCCCATATTTCAAAAAATCAATAATCATTTCCGTCAATTTTCTATTAGTATTAACGTAATCAGGCTTGTTCCCATCGCTGCCTAGTCTGATGAATTAACGATAGATTGACGGAAATAACCAAAAGTGTTAAATTATTGTAATATGAGGACCAAATATGTTTTGTGTAAATATAGGGGACTGAATGTGGAATCCGTCCAAACTTGAGGGGTGTAAACTATAGTTTTTTCTTATTGATATTATTTCACACGTGTTTCAATAATATGCTAAAAAAGATTATGAAATTACAGGTACAGAACAATGGAGACGGCAAAACCACATAATCACCACCACCACCGCCGAAACCAACCACCACAACCACCACCACCGTCATCCTCCGCCGCCGAGAGAGGCTTACGTAACAGTACTCCACACGTCGGAAGCTTACGTGTGCGGCGCAATAGTCCTGGCCCAGAGCCTAATCCTATCAAACACGACGAAAGACCTCGTCCTCCTCGCCGACGACAACATGTCGACGGCGTCAATCTCCGGCCTCCGATCAGCCGGCTGGAAAATCAAGCGCATCGAGAGAATCCGAAGCCCTTTCTCCCGGGAGAATTCGTACAACGAGTGGAACTACAGCAAGCTCCGGATATGGCAGCTGACGGAGTACGACAAGCTGATATTCATCGACGCCGATCTGATCGTCAACAGAAACATGGACGTGTTCTTCGCCTACCCGCAGATGACGGCGGCCGGGAACTACCAGCGCCACCTCTTCAACTCGGGGCTGATGGTGGTGGAGCCGTCGCGGTGCGCGTACGACGCGCTGGTGGAGGAGATGGCGGTGGTGGAGTCGTACAACGGCGGCGACCAGGGTTTCCTGAACGAGATGTACTCGTGGTGGCACCGCCTGCCGCCGCAGATGAACTACCTGAAGGTCTTCGTCGACGTGAACGATCATCTGCGTTGGGTGGAGAAGAGTGTGTACGCCGTACATTACACCGGGTTGAAGCCGTGGAGGTGTCCCGACGAGGCGCGTGACTGTAACTGGGATTGGCCGGAGTTTCGGAGGTACGCGAGTAACACGGCGCATAAGATGTGGTGGCGCGTGCATGGCACCTTGCCGGAGAATCTGAAAGATTTCTGCATAGTACGGGATATATATAACGGAGAGGACAATGGTGGTGCTTCTTCTCCGGCGGGTCAACCCGTTATGAATTACACGGGTTGATTTGTCCCATGTGAAAACTCACACTTTGTTATTTGCATATTATATATTTTAGATGCATTAATTATACCTTTTCTTTTTAATTTTATTCCTCTTAAATTTTTACAAACAATAAATATTGCATTTAGTCAAATCATATTTACTTATTTATTTTATTTTTAAAATAAAATCGCGTTTGTTAAAATTTTCAAATAATTTTCCTTTGCAAAATTTAAAATTAATCATTCCTAAAAAAAAAAAATTTGACTGTTGCAGTAAAAATAATATATTTACCAAAAAAATAAATAAATATTACTTAATCTTTCAAAATTTACTTATAACATATATTTTCCTAACTTCAACATGATTCGACTGCTGCAATATATTATATCTCATTCCAAAATATAAATAAATATTATTTTTAATCTCAAATTCTTCTCTCAAAATATATTTTCCCAAAATAAAACAAAATAAGTTCGAAAATGCTGCAAAACACAAAACTTACCCAATTCTATATTGATTTTATGCCATAGCCCTCTTTAGTCTCACTCTCATGTATATTCTTCTCTCTCTCTCTACAATTAACAATCAAGAAGTAAATTTGATATTAGAAAAATAATTTTTCTATGGAATTAACACTTAAAATAATGTAATAACTTGTAAATTACACGATTACTGCAATTCGAATTCGAAAAATAGCTCATATACAAAATATTGACAAGAGAATTCAAATTCGATTAATTTAACAACCAATTATTTTGCTCAATCAACTATACCACTCTTTGTCGGCATTTTACGTATTTGAAATGTACAATAATTTTGAGTAGGAAATGAAATATAATATAATAAATATAAATGTAATTAATATATAAAATCTAAAAATAAATAAAGTTTAATTCCCAAAAGCGAAATTTGCAAAACTTAAGCCCGAAGAAAATTGGCAAGGGCAAAAAAGACCTACTACCCCCTCTTCTTGATCTGTTTCTTCTTCATTTTGTTCACAGAAGAAAAATACCAACGGAAATGGAGGCTAAGATGAATCAATTCTTCGAGTCTGTCACTAATTTCTTCGGCGGTGGAGACCACGTGCCTTGGTCTACCCCTGATGTTATCCTCGTATGCATATCTCTTTCCCACCATACTTTTTTTTTTCCTTATTTTAATTCCTCGTGGTTTCGTCTTTTATTTTGTTTTCTGTATAAATTGCAATAATCAACAAGAATATAATTGCTTGTTTTTGTTGAAATGGGTTTCCAGTTTCTATTGTAAAGAGTGGAGTTATTTTTGTGTGTGCCTGAAAGGTGTTTGATGAAATGTCTGATATGGTTGGTTGATGTCTATTGTGAAAGGAAATTGGGGGTTATGAGGATCAAGGGTTGTAAATTGGGGTTGGAGTTCTATTGGCCCTGTTGTACTGTTTCTTGATTGATTTTGGGTTTGTTAGATTTTCTATTTGGGTAATTCGACTCTACGAAAGGTTTTGATTTGTATTACCTTTTTATGATTTTTGGAGACCGTATATGAATGAGATTGAGGTACTCGGCAACAGATAGATGGTTAAGTCGACTAGTTCATGAATATTTTGGATAAGAGATTCGAAGTTCTTGGAGGGTTATAAAAGTTTTTTCGTTTCTTGAATTTCGCTGGAAAGTTAAGTCAATTGTTGTTACATTGAATGCCGTGGCAAATGATTAGCAGCTCTATTATTTTGTCGAACTGATTTGAAACTGGGGTGTAGATTTGGAACTCAATACAATGGGTACATTAAGTAAGCTCAACCATTGTAGAATTAGTAAATTTGGAGTAGATTAAAGAAAACTCGGTTCAATGCTAGAATTAGTAATTAGGTTTTACCATTGTATGTTATTTGTATTAATATCGTGTGCCGTGTATTTTATATTTTATTATATTACAGGGATGCGAGAGAGAAGTTGCAGAGGCTAGAAAAGACGAATCTGCGGATCGAACAAATGAAAGTATTATGCGATTGTCGTGGGCCCTTGTTCATTCTAGACAACAGGAAGATATGCAACGAGGGATAGCCATGCTTGAAGGTCAAATATTTTATTTCTTTTATAGTTTTTTTCGTTAGTGCATCGGACTTTTTATTTACGATTTATTTATGTATTATATGATTTTACTGGCAGCTTCACTAACAAACACTAATAGCCCATTGCAAAAGAGAGAGAAGCTTTATCTGCTCGCTGTTGGATATTACAGAGTCGGGAATTATTCGAAGAGTATGCAGCTTCTTGATCAGTGCTTGGAGGTTCGTCGTCTTTTTTTTTTTTTTTTTTTTTTTGTAGTGTTCAAAATCTTATTACATTGATCTGAAAATTGCTATGATATGTATAGATTGCGCCTGATTGGAGACAAGCTCTGTCTTTGAAGAAAACTGTCGAAGATCGAGTTACTAAAGGTAATAATAACAAACAAATTGGAGTCTTGGAATTTACGATTATGGCCTTATTATTGGCGAATTTTTTTAACTGTGTTTTAATGTGGTGTGCAGATGGTGTTATTGGAATTGGAATAACTGCTACTGCTGTGGGACTTATAGCTGGTGGAATAGCAGCGGCTTTGGCTCGCAAGAACTGATTATTTTTATGCTTTTTTTTTTAAAGAAACAAATGCGCCCTTGCCCTTATATGAATAAATATTTGCCCGGAACATTAATTAGTCGAAAAAATGTTTGGTTTTATTGATGATTTGTGTTGGATTATTTTTGTTTAGTACCAGGTGGATAATGTTAAACTTTGTAAGTGATTGAGGTTGTTCTTGTATGACTATGTTGTATAGCTATTTTTCGAAATTCTGTTTAGGGTTCGAAATCGAATAGCTCCAATTCACATTAGTTCGGAAAAATTAAAAAAACGCAAAAACTACAAAAATCCGATGGACAATTGTTCATTAGAAATCGTCAGAAATTAAAACATCTGATCAGAATTGCAGAAAGCATTGCCTACAAAAGTACAAATACATTGAAGTTACAAGCAATAAAAGAAATCACCAAACGCATCGATAAGTCACATGTAACTGAGTTAACTCGCCACCGTATGTCACCTTAACAACCTGCCCTTTCTCCATCCCATAATAACGAGCTATTGCGTCTTTCTGCAACATCCGCGGAAGCTGAAAAAAAATAATATAAAAATATAAAAATCGAACCCGAAATGTGAATTTTAACGATCGGAATAAAGTTTTCGATAATATAAAAAACTTCGTGAAAGATTAATTAACCTGCTTTTCGTCTATGCTGTACTTCTTCAGTAGATTTTGTTTCTCTTCGTTAGTCAGCACTTGGTGTTTTGGCTTCATCTCATGCTTAGTTACGTTCACCAGCAAATCCGCAATCTAAAACATTCAATAATTAGTAACTCAATTTATTTTTATTTTATTCTTAGGGTAAATTACAACCACCCCATGAGGTATGGTCGAATTACGAAAACACCCCTCATGTTTGGATAATTGCATCTACCCTTCAGCTGTGAATCTTCTTACGTCTCCACCCTTATGGTGTCAAATTCAACATAATCATCTGTGGAATGTTCTCTAGTTTGTACTCGTTTTGTGCAAAAATACAGTTTTTAATACACCACAATCTGATATATACAAGCCAAAAAACACATCTTATAATCATCTCGTTTCAAAATGTGGAGCTCGAATGAGATAAAATGGGTACAAAATTGAGAAGATTCCATATAATCTAGTAGATTCCACTAAATTTAAAACCGCAAGGGTGGACGTGTAAGAACATTTATAGTTGAGGGGTGGTTGTAATTACCGAAACATGAGGGGGTTTTTCGTCATTTGACCATACTTCAGGGTGGTTGTAATTTACACTATATTTTAAATAGAAGAAAGAGTAACCTGGAAAATTTCGACTTTGAAGGAGAAAAGCTCGACGGCTTTCAAGGCCTGACTGGTCATTTTATTTTGGACGACTAATATAAGTCCACTTAGGCTGTCTTTGTTAACTATCTGAGCTGCAATCGCACGTATGTTATTTACTTTCACTATCCCCGGACCACTGAATAGAACTAGAACCTGCATTTCCAAATTTTAGCACGTTGCCAAATTCAAATATACGTTAGATTTCGCAGAACTATTATCCAACGCAAAAAACTATAGACCGTACTAATAAATAAATAAATAAATAAATAAATCGTTAAGAAAATTACAGAAACGTAAACTTTAATGAACCAATATGTTTGTTACGAAAAATAAATGCGCCTTTTAAATTTTCTTTAAAAAGAAAATTCATAATTATTCAATAGACGAAAATTTACTCGGGTGCTTAGGTAATGACTAATGAGACTGTCTCGTTAAATTGCTACTAAAGTTACGATCATCTCTCTCTCTCACTTTCTTGAGGGCGGGAGAAATGTATAAAGTATTTGCATTTTTCTTTTACAACGTCGTATTTGAGTTACTATTGGAAACTTCATCTATCGATGTAATGACTTGATTGAATTGGAAAGTTACTCAAACATAATTAATTATATGGATTTAATAAATAACAAGGCCGAACGAGAAAAGTAATGAAATAATTTCTGAAAGGTGAGTTTCTACTCTGCATGCTGGAACAAACCAGAGCAACGAAAGGCGAGCGTTAGCTCTTTCACACACCCACACAGAGAAGAACATACAATGTATCAAAGCATTATCACACACACACACACACACACACACACACACACATATATAGATGTAGCTCTCTCTCTCTCTCTCTCTCTCTCTCTCTCTCTCTCTCTCTCTCTCTCTCTCACACACACACACACACAGCACAATGTATCAAAGCATTATCACACACACACACACACAGCACAATGTATCAAAGCATTGTCTCATACACACACACACACACAGAGAGAGAGAGAG